CTGATATTACACTCAGGGTGTGCAAAAGCAAACATGGCTTATGAATGTTTTATTTGAAAAAAGAGGACAGACCATCACTGATGAAAACAATATTATTAAAAAAATATCATTGATTTGAAGCTAGAATTCTTCAGCTATTTAACTTTTAATGTCCGTATTTTTTTTTTGTTTTTGAATTTCACCTTTTTTGTTTTAGGAATGCCTTATCAAGCAAAAACAAGGTAGAAGAAAATGCAAATTTAAAAAAAAAACATGCTTTTCATTCATTCTTTATTAAATATAAAAATTCATACGTGGGTTACTTATGGCAACTCTGATTCGAACCCTATTTTTCAGGTTTGCATATTTATTTGCCACAAGCGTCAGACTATAATAATGATTTTTCTGTATTTAGTAGGCTAAATTTTTGCCCAAATTGATTTATTCTGGAATATTTACCTGTAATTTAACAGTACAGTTTGCAGAAGAAATTGTCATTCCATTGATGCAAAAAGGATGCCTTTACTTACTTATGTCTTTTTGATTCACCTATTTTCATACATTTTTTGTAAATTTTTATACGAACATGTCCGTGTGACATTTTTGCTAGATTTTCTTAACTGTTTGTTCAATTCAATTGACTTCTACAAAAAAGGGTGCCACAATTATTTCGTGTCAAATAATACAAGTAAATTATCTTCTAGTCATATTATTGATAAAAAAGGGATGCCTTTACTTTTTTCAGTCTTTTTTTCTTGCACCTAATTACATGTATTTTTTGTGAATCTTTATACGTACATATCCATTTAACATTTTTGCTAGCTTTTCTCATATGCTTGTTCAAGTCATTTGTCTTCTACAAAAAAGGTGGCACAATTATTTTGTGCAAAATGTCACAAGTAAGTTATCTTTGATTTTTTTTTCTTGGATTGTTCAATTAAATGGATGTGATAACTTTGATAGAAATAAACTTTTATCTTGAATTTTAAGCGTCAGATTTTTAAAGTTACAATTTTCGTCTCATTCATAAAAATATTGTAATTGATTTATTGATTGTATATTGTTTAAAGTCCCTCTTGAGAATTTTTCACTCAGATTGAGACGTCACAGTATGCCGTAGAAGGGCTTCAAATTTTGACCTATACTCGGCACTCAGGGTCATTTAAAGTGAGGATTCTTTATCGTGCCAGCGCCTATCGTGACACGTTTTTAAGGTCATATCCGAAAGACTCATGACTTTTACCTCTAATGCCGAGCTCTTGGCGAAGGAACAGTCACTACCTTTGTTTACGTCTTAGGTATGACGTGGCGTCGCGAACGAGAATCGAACCCGGGCCTCCTGATCACGAAGCGAAAGCTAAAAGCAGTGTGTATGTAAAAGCAAGATTAAAGCTGAACGATAACACTACTCGTATAAAGGCATAGTCCGCCATATTTCCTGTTCTTCAACGCTCTTCCTACAACCCATATATGCAGAGATCCGACGAATGTAGACGTACATCTTACACAGCCGTGATACGCAATCGCAATGAAATTATCAATTTAAACGTATTGTTTTTAAACAGGACTAAATTATCATGAATGCAGGTCAATACATTATTTACAAACAGAATATGCACATAAAAAACAAGCCTTAGGAATAAACGGAAAATAATTAAGACCACGAAAGGAGTACTACATGTACATGTGAACCACGAGATTCAAGTGTGCAATCAGATGTAACAAAATTGAACGGTTTATATACCTTCTGATAGTGCCAATTTTTGAGAAGTGTTCAGCTTGACGCAGTGGATTTGTTCTTCATTCTCACTTTTTTCTTTCCTACAAATCCAAAACGCAAGTTTCGAGATTATCTCCCTTGGCGCGCTCTTTTGTTGAGGAGGGGAGTTTCGTTGCTGTGTAAACAGACAGGTGGAACCCGTGGATTTAATTTTTTACCTGAAATAATTTCAGAATATCTTAAACGACAAAAAAAATTTGATTAAATTGGATTCCTACTTGTTTAAAATCACCACAACAAATTGTAATACATAAACTTTATATTTTAAAAATAGTCTTCTTTCTTGAAAGTAATATATAGATATAAATATATTACATTTAGAAAGTTAAGAAAAATGGTACCATAACGTTCAGTTATTTGTTAAGTTATTTAAGGAAACACTGTCTAGTTTTGAGGGTATGACAGGGCATCAACAATAGTGGGAAACATGGGATAATTTGCATAACGGGCAAAGGTAAATTGAAAAAAGAAAATATAGAGTAATTATATTAATGAAGATAAAATTTAACTTGGCATTTTTTCTATTTTGCATTCGTTTCGTTGTAAAAATAACAATGGTTATCAAAAGGTAACCAGCCCTTGGGACAAGCTAGAAGCAAAATAGAAAGAATTTCTATTATCAAATAGAAATTTACATGTACATTACTGATAATTATAAACACGATCTAATTTTCTTAATCGCCTTGTTTAATAACTTTGTTGAACTTTCTAGTATGTTATTCTCCTTTTTTATTAAGATGTTTGTCCTTAGCAAAAGTATGTTTATTTCTTCTACAATTGCAATTGGCACAGGGTGATATTTTTGAAAACAAAATTGATTGAAATATTTGCACTGTAAAAAATGTTAAGTGTATTTTTTTTTATATAAATGAATAAATCAACTCGTAAGAAATTTGCCACCACGTACAATTTAAGCCAAAGTTCCCATTCAGCTTCTGCAAGAGTCCCTCTGAAAGAACTTTCATTAAGATGGCAATTCACTATTTTACAAGAAAGTAGCTCTTTGATGTATAGAATTCCTGCACAAGCTGGTTTTACATGTAGCAAAGGGCTTCTCATGGCATACTGGGAACGACTTATGCTTCTGTGTGCGTCAATATAGTACCAAGAGTAAACTGGAAAGAATTTTTAAAAAGAAAAAGTTTCTTTCTAATTGTGTGTTGTAGGATAGGGCAAAAGAACGTTTTCGAAAGACAATCGCATAGAACATACAAGAAAACTTAAAACAGTTTCTTACAAAAATGTCATGTGAACATATTAACCATCCAGAAAACATAGCTTGAAAGTAATTAAAAATTAGGTACCTCAAAAAGCCTAATATTGAAAATGTACATGTATATTAATTCAATAATTTCGGGTGGTACTGAATATGGATTATTAATATTGTATAATAATTATGAATGCTCAACAGAATTAAAATGCCTAATACCTGAAATGCCACTTTGTCTAATTGCAGTAAAGGGTCATATAAAGATCAATGACTTCTTAATATTAATTATTAATAAATGTAAATGAAAAAACCCACACCTGATCATTTAAAATATTACGTTCTTTTAAAGTGCGTTAACTTGGAAGACGTTTTTAAAAGTGCATATCTTTTTTTTCAAATTACGTTATAACAGTGTACCCCTGGCTACGGACACTCAGTTGCCTTCATGCTCTAGTTAATAAGAGTTAACGTTTTATGAATGTTTTTTTTTATAAGCTGAAGTTGTTTTACTCCAAGATTTTAAAGAGAAAGAACAGAAAACATTCTGAACAAAAGGGACTCCAATGAATGAATTCAATTCAAAATACAAACAAGCCGAAGATTTTCGTATGTTTACATTGAAACTAATTGAAGCATGGGTGAAATGTTTTTTGTGTTTGTCCGAAAGCATCTATTTTTCTTTCACGTTTGAATAGGACTGTTGCACGCTACATTTGTTTGAATATAGATAATTGCAAAGTCAATTTGTATAGGGCCCTAAACAACATCTTTTGTTCTCGTACCATGTACATGAAATTACATTTCTTATTTTCAATCAATAACATTGATAATTTGTAGCAACTTAAAAGAACCTGAAACATGTTGTGGTCATACGAGAAGGCTGTCTTTCCTTTAAATGTATAATTATTTCTGTAATATATACCCTATTTCTATCAAACGAGTATTGATGTAAAATGCATTTAGTATATTTTTTGTTCTCTTTTTGAAACATACCATATTATAAGGATTTGATAAGTCCAGTATTTGAAGTTTATAATCAGTGTAATTTTCGACCAGAAATCTATTCGAAATCTACCACATTCAAATCTCTACAACACACGAGAAACCATGTCAAAGCACGGAAAAATTCACAATAGGAACTCTGTGCAGAATGCATACTTTTATGACTCAATCTTATATTAAAATACAACCCTGTTAAATATACGTAAAACATAACAACTGCGCGTTAAAAATTAATTAGTCCTATTTTTCTCGCAATCTTTATTTGTGTTTTTTTTAATTTCCGACATCATACAAGGCTCTTCCCTAACAAAAAAAGCTATAATTAACCATAGTTTACTACAGTTTACTATAATTAACTATAGTTAAAACTTTTACACTTTGAAAAATTTGATTTACTTTAGTGATCTCTTTGACACTTAAAATGAACTTTATCGAAAACTTTGACACTTTGATAAACTTTGGCAAAAACGTTTTCACTGTAGTTAAAACTTTTAAAACTTTGATTAACCATAGTGGTCAGTTTAAAACTTTGACACTTTGATTTGCTATTGTTAATTGCAGTTTTTTGTTAGGGTCACGTCACAAGCACCTGACGTTACTTAATTTTTTTTTTTAATTTAAAAAATTATACCTCCTCCCTAATAATAAAGAAGGTACATATCAAGCGCCATCTTTAACTTTTCTAGATCAGTGACATCAACTTGTATTGTAGTTCAATGAGTGCGAGGATCTTTGGGATTTCGGACAGGTTAAGTAAAGTCTACACAACTTCCAAAGCATAAGCTAAGAATATTATGCTGAAAATCAATTTAATTACCCAAACAGATGGTTCTTGTTGCAATTGTCATAGAAATTACCTGACTGCATCCCATTATCATGTTTAAAAAAATAAATTGTTTTATATATCCTCTCAATTAGGTTGAATTATATATATTTTCGATACCATCTGTCACTAATAACCCTGGTTAATTGTATCGGTAAATCATTATCAAATTTATATATAAATATGCCTTTATTTCACCACTTTTAACAGGTATGCAGATATCGCAAAAAAGTTTTTTGAAAAAACGTCTCCTGAACTTGAAGGTAAATATAAAGAACTTTATAGATATTTAAGTATATTTTACAAAGTATGGAAAATGATTGCACTCCATGGTGTAAAAAAGTGGATTTGAGTTTATGTTAAATTCATTTTTTGGTTTTTCAGATTCCTTGACACACTCGAAGATGATGTTAAAGATTTCTGTTTTTGTGTGTTTAACTGCATTATTCCTTATAAATAATGCACATTGCAACCAAAAGAGGTATGTTATTTCTCTTTAATGTGTTCTTTTAAAAAATATATACATTTACTGTGAATTAGTTTCAGTCATGGGAAAATACATTTTCATCATTGCTATGGTGTTCGAAATTAATTTCACTTTCAAAGACAAATACAAACAAAATTCGGGACTTCCGCTTTTGCTTTTTAAAACTAATCAGGATCCGGAGAGAAAATCAGACGCAGCTTTTGGTTGATGGCGTAGACATTAATAACATCAGTGATGAGGATCTAAATGGTCTTTTCAATGCTGAAGATGAAAAGTTAACTGGGGAACTGGGTAAGTTAGAACAATATAAAATTGAGAAAAACATCTTTTTGAAAAGTTATATAATATTTTATATATATACGATTTAATATAAATAATTACCGTACTTCAGAGAATTTGGTGACTTTTCCTCTCCGCCATCGCTTAATGAGGTTGCATTGGTTCCTGATATTTAAAAGTCTTAAACTTTTTTTGACAAGTATATGTTTTGTTTCTATACACATTGCTTAACGTGGAAACTACGTCATATGACATCATATCATTGAATATGTTAAGCCTGTGATAGATCCATTATGACGTCATTATTTATCTAATGCAACTATTTCCCGATATTTACTGTTTCCTTGAAAATTGTAGAAAATAAAGCATTTTGAAATCCATGGAAAAAAATTTAAAATCATGCCATAATACTCTAAATATGTACTTGTGTTATCAACTTATACATATTTAATATAAAGCTAAATGACTTAAAACATTTCTTAAATTAGAGACACTTGTAGGTACCATTCATTTTCTAGATCTTGGCTTTAAGTGGAAAAATCCAAGACTATCTCTTGTAATGATAATACGTATTTTATTGTAATAGCGAGCACAGCGAGTGTCGCGAAGCAACGCTTGTCACTTCGACCTCTTTAAGCAATGCCTGTGAGAAGAGAAAATTCGGACTACTGCACATTTTTAGACACAATATTTTGGACCCACAATGCATCACTTGTTTTTAGCTACGTTCTCGCGAGAATAACGGCAAAGTTTAACAAAAAGTTTACTCGCCTTGATTTAATGGATACATATTGAAGATTAAAAGTAAACGAAACGTTCTTCATCATTCAGCATTGTTCAGGTTTTTCCTTACATACGACGTCATGTGACATCAGAGTCCAGACGCACCAAATGTCAAGTGGGGTTTAACGAGCCCTATATAAATTAAAACAGAATAAGAGTAAACTTATGCTCTCTCTAACAGTCGCATCACCAATGTGAATGGCATGCAACTATTTTGAGAAAATGCAATAATCTAAAGCAATATTCAGTTGACAAATTTATTTAGTTGATGAATTGTATCTGAGTCAAAGATGTGTCGAAGATTGTGTGTAAATTTTATATTGTCTATCATGAAATGATGTGTATTCTTTTTCATAATTATTTGTTAATTATTCATGTATATTTTTGATGGTTGGTGTTTGATTACAATTTTTCTATCAAATATGATCTTTCTATATAGAGAAATACAATTCTTAATAATATTAACATCCTAAATATGAAGATACATGTAACCCCAAACATTCATTTAATAATTAAATCCTGCATAAGTGCAAAAGGTCAAGAAAAGTATTATCGGTAAATAACCTATCTCTTGTTAGTTTGTGTTGAAAGGTAAAAATTCTAATTACTTTTTTGTAATCATTTGGGTATGTTCTTCATCATATTAAATATTGAACACTTTCTTACAAAGTCTTTTGAAAAATATTCATAAATTAATGGTGGAAAATTGAATAGTTAAAATAAAGTTCATTTGCCTACATTTTTTTTAAATGTTGAGTCATTTTTTATGTCAATTGAATAAAGAAGTTATTCTTGAGAAATATTGCTTAATACTGTTCAGTTTAAAAAGTCTATCAACGACGATGTTTAAAGAAGTGTCTTTGTGATTTTCCATATCCCTAAATATGACTGACAATGTGAAGTCGCAATATGTAATTACCATTGTAAATTGTACAGACTGTACTACATTAAATAACAAGGAAAAAAGTAATTTGCTTTTAATTAACTGATTTATTAGCTGGTGCTAATTTATCATTTTGAAAAGTTTTAAAATCTTGTGACAAAGACTTAGGTGCTACCTTAATTTAAAAACTAATTTAAAATTTGAAATACAAAAGGGATGTCTAATGGCGCTACAGTACATTCAATATGACGTTTTTGCATTGACAATTTTTTTTGTTATAAGCAAAAATTACATTTTCTACATTTTTCCTTAAATATTTTCATCCAAATAAATCATGGAACATAGTAAACTTTAAGGATATTTTGAAAAAAGACACTTTCAAATTGTGACTAAGAAAAAAATTCAAATTGCTTCGCATAATCAATAATTTGACCTTTCTTAACTCACAAAATGTGATTTTTCTGGCATTGAAAATTTAATAAGCAAAAAAATAATTATATCAAAGTCATTAAGTTTTGTTGAATTTAAGCAGATAGGTCTAAGTTATCTTGAATATTTAGAAAAGAGAATCAAAATTGGGGTTATATGATGTAAATTTTCAGATATTACTTAAACAGTGTCTATTTTATGTTTAAATTGACTAAATATTACCCTTTACTTTAAAATATATTTACTATATTTGTCACTATTCGTTGAAAGAATTCCTAAGAAATAATTTAGTAGATATTTCTGAGCCAGCATAACACATTTCACTGCTAAAAACAACTCTGGGTGCAAACAGCATGGAAAAACATAAATCCGAAATTAATAGTATTTTAAAAGGGAAAAATTGATCATTTTCTTCTTAAAAAAACACATTCCAAAATATAGTTCCTTGCTTAATCCTACTTAAATGGAATTTCATCGCGGTTTTTTTTTTTTCATTAAATATACTTCAATTTGCATTGTAGTATCCAGGTTTAATGTTAGAACTAAAAAATGATGCAGAATTTTAGAAATAACGGAAAATGCCAAAATTGACTTACATGTAAAAGCACAGGATCGAACGTCCATAAAAAAATCCAAAATAACTTTTTTCTCTTTAAAAGTTGAATATTCTCTTGTACATTGTTTCAAGCTAAAAAAATAACTAATATAGTCTCTAAATGATTGCAACATGTAATATAAAATGTAATAAAGTAATGAAAACCGTTTGGATGAATCACAACGAGTAAAATTCATTCCGTTCAGTGTATTCCTTTCATTTATGTTATTAAACATGACAAAACATCGACCTTGGATTGTATAGTTCTTGAAATAGGCATACCAATACAATAGAATACTGATTTGAATCAGAAAATGGAAATATAGTATCAAAGAAATCAGTTATCTTTTAAAATTTGTAGATAGTTTAAATGGTAATTAATACTAATTATTGATATCATTGTCCATATAACTGAAAATTTCTTGAGAGCGACGTAAAACAACGATAACTTTTATTATTTTTCTATTTGTTTTGCTATAAATCTACACGCACTATTTTACAGTTTAGCATATTTTGTTTGTCATTTGATTTTTAAAGTCCTCATTAAATGTATTTGTACATGTATATGTCATATGTCAACAATATTTACATGAACATGATTCACATTGAAAATGTTGAAAATCGTTTTAAAGAAAGTAGAAATTGGCAAAATATAGGAGGAAATATAACTGAAAGATACTATGGTTTTAGGCTGGGGAATCTAAATATTATAAAACATACAAATGGAGCGAGCCAGAACAATGGCGTGAAAGGAATAAACCTCTTTATGAACACTTTTTTTCTGCTTCTTTCCAATATTTTTAGAGAAAATGTGAAAGTTTGTAAGAATTAATATACGTATCTCATCCTTTTGATTAATGTATATTACTTAAGATATATGGATCGGCAAACAAACATTAAGAGAAAAGCAGAGGCTGAGGAGAATTCCACCAGTGATAGTAGCTGTCGGAACCAGAGTCGTATGGACTGCCGGTAGACACATAATGAAAACTCTCATAAGAAATACGCTTCCGAAGACCAGTAAAGACTTAAGACTTAGACAATATTTCAAAAGAGGGGGGTACAAATCAGCACAGGGAGATTTTTGGAGATTCAAACCCATGAATATTAAACGTTTTACGGGAAAAGACGTAAGCGATTTATTATACAAAACATTGCTTCATAATATTTGTTACCATTACAATTGACATTTTGAGAAAAAAAAAACGCATATTAATTAAATGCCACACATGCATTGAAATTGATTATACGAAATTGTTGTTAAAGGGTCAAGAAGGAATAACAGGGAAAATTTTGGACGGAAAGTATACTTTGACTGTGAGAAGAACTAGTTCATACTCCCGTATTAAAAATGGAGGCAAAGTATTTAGACAAGGGCGTCCAACACTTGAACTAAGAAGCAACACTGGTGGAAAATTAGTCAGAAAAGTCAGATATGAAGATAGATGGAGTTACAGGCACAAAAACACAATTACAAATACAAAGATACAAAGTTGTCAGGTAAAACATTATACAAAAGCATATTAAAGTTAAACCGCTTTAATCAAGACTGATGTCATATATAACCAGTTTAGCTTCTTCGTGTTTATTTGATCACAATTAATCAAAATAATGGCCACATCGTTTTGAAAAAAAAAAAAAAACTATTTAAAAAAAAAAGATACATTTCCTACTTTTTCAGTAAATTTTGGGGCATGTTAATGAGTGTTTCTGTCCTTGTACTATAATATTATACAAAGAAATTTCGTTGGGACATAGACATGTTATCAGCCGCCAATTCCAAAAATGTCTTTTAAAATTATAACAAGGCTATTGTAATTTGCAAAGTTTAGCACACTTTCAGGTTTTTCAATCAACTATTTTTTGAGTAATTACATTTTCAATTTAGGTAGGCTAGGCGGAATACGGAGATCAAAATCCTCGAGAACGCGGAGCAGAAGTAGATATAGGCGTGGCAGGATTGGAAGATCAAGATCATATAGAACGCGGAGCAGAAGTAGATATAGGCGTAGCAGGATTGGAAGATCAAGATCGTATAGAACGCGGAGCAGAAGTAGATATAGGCGTAGCAGGATTGGAAGATCAAGATCATCTAGAACGCGGAGCAGAAGTAGATATAGACGTAGCAGGATTGGAAGATCAAGATCATCTAGAACGCGGAGCAGAAGTAGATATAGGCGAAGCAGGATTGGAAGATCAAGATCATATAGAACGCGGAGCAGAAGTAGATATAGGCCGCGGAGCAGAAGTAGATATAGGCGTAGCAGGATCGGAAGATCAAGATCATCTAGAACGCGGAGCAGAAGTAGATATAGGCGTAGCAGGATTGGAAGATCAAGATCATATAGAACGCGGAGCAGAAGTAGATATAGGCGTAGCAGGATTGGAAGATCAAGATCATCTAGAACGTGGAGCAGAAGTAGATATAGGCGTAGCAGGATTGGAAGATCAAGATCATCTAGAACGCGGAGCAGAAGTAGATCTAGGCGTGGTAGGACTGGGAGATCAAAATCCATAAGACCGCGGTTAAGAAAAAGTTATAGGCGCGCTGGAAATCAGAGATCCAGATCTTCCAGAACACGGAGCAGACGATGGGGTTAAAGAAAAACATTATTTTCATTTGTGACATAAAAACCAAAACAATGTTTAAATCTTATTTTTTCCTTTTGCTGAAACTATAACATTTTTGACTGTAAATAAAGATATATTGAGAAAAAAGTTTATTTCCATATATATACATCCACTGAAATTTTCTCCTTTATTTCTTAAGAAAACCTATTGCGTTAATCAGTGCATGAACTACACTAGGCATGTCACCTGTACAAATTTTTTGATCAGCAGTTGTTCCATCAATAAAAAATACAAAGACGTTCGCATCAATAATACAATAATTAATCTTTTAAATCCTACCTTAAATGATTATTTAAACAGATATTAATATAAACAATAAAATATCTTTCTTTGGTTGTTAGTACGGGTATGAATGTCGCAGCTATTGCCAAAAAAAAAATACATAACCCGCTTACCCGAGTTGTGTATTTTCTCAGCAACAGCTGCTTCATTCATTCCCGTACTAACAACCAAAGAAAGCATTTTATTGTTTAAGTAAAAGCATCATGACCAGTGTTTTCGAGTGTAATATACCCAAAACAAGCATAAACAGAAAACTAAATTATTGTAGTTACATGCTATACTGCAAGATCGGGAAACAATATATGGTAGGTTGAAAGAGATATCAACCATTTATACTTAAAAGCGCTCTGATAACGAGAAAAATATAGCAGGAAATGTGTTGAAAATAATAACGACGCAAATGAAAGGGTTTTAAAAAAACTAAGATACATGTATGTTGCGCCTTGAGATTTCTGTTGTATAGCAAAAAGGCAGAATTCTGAAGCTTTCGCATTTTCGCATTTTAACGTATTTCATACTCTTGTTTATTAAAGACGCATCTTCTCACAATTAAGTTCTTACACATACCTACATGTATAAGTGTAAAAGTGTAAATCAATCAATTCGTCTTCGAAGAATAAAGTTACATTTCCAAACTGGTTTTGTTTAAGAGGTATATGTGTAAGGAATTGTCATTTTAACAAAAAAAAAAAAAACGCACCAAGGAGGGAATCAGCGATAAATGCCCATACTTATATTGATATTTTATTAATGACAAGACGGTAAAATTCCTTTTCCTTAACGTGCACCAAGATAGCATCAATGGCTTCAATATGATCGAGATTACATTCTTTTACACAAATAAACATACAAGCATTGTATTCTAGTGTGCAATCTCCTAATGTAATATCCTTTGACAGGCCAAAATGTTATGGCAATTATAATAAGAACAACAACAACAACAATTAATTTACACAAAACAAGGTAAACGTATGCACTATTCTTCCCCAATATATGTACACATGTAAATAAATATATAAATTAACATGCAATTGTAACTATAATAATCAACTTTTTCTTTTTATTTATATATCGTAACGTTTACTGTATTTATTGTATAATACAGTTTTATAAAATTAATTTCCTCGAAGTAGGGTTTGAGATACCGACTAATTTTATGCATCACCATATTGAACTATATTATCTTTACTTTTTTTTTTTAAATTCATAGACCTTTGAAATGAATGATTCTATTGTACACATGTCAATTTCAGATTAATACGTATTATATACCACCTATAGTAAAAAGAATTCATGTTCTCAATACTTCACTCGGTTTGAAAAAAATCAGAAATCATTTTAGCCACTGAAACGAGAAAAAGAAATGCTTTCTTCATTTTCAGTGATAATTGCCTTCATCTTTCTTACGTTTATTGATTTTTTTTTACATAATGATTCCCGTAAATCGATTTTAACAAAATGATGATGAATACTAGAAAAAAAATCTGGATCACATCTTCTACTGTAAATTGAAATAAAAAAATAAGCAGTTCAAAATCGATGTTTACATAGGATCGCCAGTGATCTGTTAAGTTTAAAAGGTAAATGTACAGGGAATGTCAAAATATTTCGAAAACATTTTATAACATTGTATGCTGTTTGATAGCTTTGTGCATTGCAAGACATTGGAGCCAATATGTGGTAATTTGTATTTTATCATGTGACGATACATGTAAAAATCCCACCTGTGATGTTTTGGAGGTCCGTGTTTGCTCCGTTCCTTTTTGGTAATGTTTAATGGACTTTCAAAACAATCAATCACTACTCATAGGCCCTGGGTAACGAGAATATGTAAATGTTGCAGGTCTACTCCGGCAAATGACATTGACATAAAAAAAAAACGTTCCTTGTGCTCTGTTTATTCTTTGCTTTTAGAAGATCTTTATTTTTAAGTCAAGTTTATCTTGTAAGTTTTCTATGGTTTCAAAACAACGAATTCAGGTTTCTTTAGCTTTTAGAATTTCAAACAAACGTGAATAGCTAAATTTATCACTACTGGACTTGAGATTCCCTGATATTCTGATTATTCTCTGAAAATATCTGATAGACTCTATACTTTCACTGTAAACCACTGTACATGCCTCTGTACAACACAGTACATTACAGTACATCACTGTACAGAAGCACTGCTTTTTCAAGCACCTCCCTGTACTTCTCAGTACGTTTCCTCTGTACAACATAGTACCCTACAGTACTTCCTACAGCCACCTGCAGTCACTGTTTTCCACTGTACATGTGTACATCACAGATTTTTTGCGGTACAGATTACTGTACTTCACAGTACATTACTGTTATTCCCTGTACACATCTATTGTACATTACAGTACATCACAGTATTTCACAGTACACAGTTCTGTACATTACTGTACGGCACAGTTTTACCCTATTCTTTTTGCTCTTGAGTTTTAAATTCAATAGATAGTCTTAATTTTAGTTATTGTCTGAATTACTAATAATAATTCTGTCAACAAAGAGTTATTTTGTATTTATATCGTCATGTTACTTCTGTGTAAGCATTTTTGAGGCGAAATTTCCAATCTCACGTTTGTTAGAAGAAGAAAAGGCCGAGATAAGATTAAACTGCTTCTTTTTTTAATCTTTAATCAAAAATCTTTTTCAGAGGTCTACATATTTCATTTCTACTTGTTTCGTTGTACAGATGACCGATATAATACACAGAGCATACCCTATATTTTGGAATTTACATGTTTAAAATAATTCTTTGAGTTGATTTAATTATTTAAGTCCGTTGATAATTTTCTGCTTTCTTTCTTTTGTAAATAAAAACCGGTTGAATTTACCTCTCTCCTACCTCTATTGACTTAAACTTTTTAGATACAATTATGTACGCAGTGAATATATAGATATATTTCAATAATGCATGGTAATGTACTTTCATATTCTTTTAATTATTATGTATCCAGACACACAATCACAAATATATGAACAAAATCAAATGTAACAAAAGTTCTTCCTTTCTACAAGATCATACATGTACAGTCATTATGATATTTAAAAAAAAGCTTAAGATGGGAAGGTGTTTTTTTATGTTGATGACAATTGATTTTTCTGCTAGTTATATATTTTTTTGTCAGCAATAGCTGCAACTTCATACCTACATGTACCTTTGCATGAATAAAAATAATTATATATATATCAATCCTAATTCTTTTACTGAATAAATTACTAAATGATCGTTTTGCTATATAATATAAAAAACCAATTTGCAATTGAGCATCGTATGTACAATGGCCAGGGCATTTATAATTCTATTATTTTTACATGAACTAATCACAGTCATATCTCTACATCCGAATTCTTAAACAATGTAAATCTAGATCTCAAGTGCAAAAAATTGAGCGAATGTCAAACTGCACAAATAATAAGTGTAAATAAAAAAAAAAGCTTTTAGTTAAAAACGGACTTAGACATATATTTAAAAAAAAATAATACAAGTCTTTATTGAATCTATCTTAATCAATCTTGAAATGAATTTAAATTCTTATTGATATGGTACATATGATCATGACTTATCAATGAGATGTTTTTTTACAAGAATTACCTTCAGATTTTAGATAGGAATCTTTCAATCACATTGCAACACTTCCTTTGAATCAAAAACATGTTACTAATATGAATTTAAAGAAAGGGTTGAGTTTTGTAAAGTAACGTAAATTTCCGTCAAATAAATTGGAAACACCAAAACCATAATGATTATGTCTTTCGAAAAACTTATCAGTTAGGAAATATAGAATTGTAGAAAAGTTACAAAGAAGACTAGACTAGTACAGTTTAATACTTCTAAAATGTATTCTTGAAAAATCCACCTTAAGTTCACTTCGACCAAATCAACGATACATCAATGTTGCTTGTTCAGCTGAAACTGAAGAAGGAGTCAAATCAGTGTGAATATGAACGCAGTCATTTTATGAAGTAAATTGAAAACTGTATCTTCTTTTGTTACTAATATAAAATTTTCTTCGCAGTAGGGACACTTATATATAAGAGTGTCAAATCTTAAAGGTTTTTGGTATTAGACAGTATACGGATCAAAGTGACCAGTTTCCTTTTGCTGATCCATTTCTCGTTTTTTTTTCCAGTTGGTATGTAATAAAATTTTCATTTACAATTGTAATTTTTTACTTATTACATATTACTAGTTCAATTTTGTTTGTGATGTCATTCATGATTTTCTCATTTCCGTTTTGCATTGTAAAGTAATGAAGTTATCAATTTTGATTGGTCAATTGAAATTGGAAAAGAGAGTCAACCCAATATGAATGTAAAAGCAGTACTTTTATGAAGAAAACTGAGTACGGTGTCTTCTTGATATGAACATTTATTTGCTGTGAGGGCACTTCTCCACCAGTCGGTCAATTTTCAATGGTTTTCAGACATAAGTCGATGCTAGGATGCGATAGGTTTGCTAGAAGAATTGTCCTTTTCTAAAAATAAAGTAAATTATTTGGATTATAAAGAAGTTCTTAATTATGATGTTTTTGATATGATACTTTAGATATTCTTACACACTGCCAATTTCAATCATTTGTCAAACATAAAGTAATTATTGGGTACCACGCTTATTAAATGTTAATGTTATTTCCATGTCAAAAGATTCTTTAAAACAATGTGGACAACCACCAAAAATAAAAAAAAAGTTTGCTCTGTGTCTAGAAATCAATCAAATATCATCAATGATATATTTTTTTTGAATATTGGCAAACACTACACGGGTTGTTGCTAGTCCTAGTAGCCAAAAACAATGTTAAATTTAATGCCTATTTATCAGTTTTGATCACTGACCTGCTCATGTGGCTACATGTATTGCAATAAGTCTACACAAACACTTGTTGTTGAATACAGCACATAATTCAGTGAATGTTTCTTCGGGATTCTAACCCGTTCAGTAGCTTTTATAAGTATAATCTTCTAACTTCACTGATTCTTAATCAATCATTTTAATGCAATACCTCGAATATGCGTGTTTTCAGCTTCTCGCAATTAAATTGTATGATGAAACTTTCTCACATAAACGGTTTACAGTTGATGTAAAATTTAATCATAAGTAACAACTGTCAAGGTTAATGTCATGATTACTATGTTTGAATGCCATAGAATTCAAGCCATAATTTATTGATCAACAGTAGCAAAATCAGTCATGTATTAAAATTTCGATCCAAATATTTAAAAGAACAGCAGATTATTGTGTTTTTACATTGATCTTTAATCTTCTATTATGAAAACTTACATACAATAATAAAAATAAATTTGAAAATCAATAGATTTTTTTCATAGCAAATTTAAAGAAAGCCTTTGCTGGTATTCTTTATTGATGTTAGCTATTATAATATGATCATGATTGAAAGTAAAAGTATTCTGATAATTTACAGTTGGTTAGTTCGGTGTATTATAAAATTCATTGAAATATTTCTCCATGAAATATTCCCATTCTTATATGAAAATGGTCAAGTTAGGTGTTCTTTCATGTATTTTTGTAAGAGTCTTCATCTTAAAATTTCCCCATTTCTTATCTTTTGAAGCAAAACTGATACAAAACGTATCTTTGTACAACACTCTGCCATTGCATAATTCTTATTATGTGAAGATCTTGGAGAGCATTAGTCGAATGGAATGTGCTATGCAATGTATTCTGCTACAATCAGCGTGTGCAGGAATCATGTATAACAACGAACTATTTTCTTGTAAAGTCGTGAAGTGTTATTTGAATGACCGTTCCGTGAACAGTACAAAAATGGAGGTTGGTTGGGAAATTTGGTTCCAAAATACAGGTGAGTTGCTTCATGCATGTCGTTCAATAATAAATGAGGGATTTATATTAATTGATATATCAAAAAATATAAATTTTAAATTCTTTTAATTAAGGTTCTAGAAATTTTGTGCTCAGGATTTTGAAATTTTTAATTAATAAGTGTTCGCCGATTTCACATATCCAAAATTTATATCATTATTGCGACTACACCATATTTAAGTAATGTCATTTATTTTAGGCAAAGATATATGGTTCGGAAACTGAACATGAAAGTTTATATAAATTTTTTTCTCCTTCATTAGATTTACTGATTAGATAAAAGCTAATCATATGACACCATGAATGTTTTCGTATTACATGGCCGTCAAGGAGTATAAATAAAATCGGGGGTTCTAAATAAAATGACCCCTTAGAAACGGTTTCCGCTGGTATTTATTTAAAATTTACGTTATCTGTAATTGTTCTGATATTTTAATTTGATTGTTTTAGAATGAAACTTGATAATTGCATAATATACTTATAGGTTGTTTAATATTTAAAAGGGTACATGTATCATCAGGATCAAAGATAAATAACTATATGGTCATGTACATTAGTGTCCTAAAAGCTGCCTAATACGCAGTCACACAAGCTTCGCCTCGTCCAATACGGATTTTCATTTCATACCTGGTATGATTCCGTAAAAGACCCCAAATTGACGTTGTAACTAATAGCGAGCGCATATAGGCGGAGCGAAGCACCACTCGCTTAGCGAGCTAAATAGACCAACGTGAACGGAAGGAGCAAATTCTTGTTGAAATCCGCGCATTCTTCGAAGAAAATTTATGAGTGCACTTGAAATCAAATGTAAACTATCATCTAAACTTCCAGTTATCTTTGGGGCGCAAAGCAGCATAGTGGCTTGAACATGGCAACACCTTATTTGAAAGAAAAAAAAACTAGAGGTACTGAGAGCAATGAGCTCAATAAACGATACCCCCCGCCTCCCATAATATCCATGTTTTGCTACATGAATATTTTAATTTATATTGTTTTACGGTAAGGTGTTAAGAGGAATAACTCGTGGTATAATGTTATTCAGAATCCGCCATATCTCACATCATAGGTAAGAATATAATGGCAATGTCAATGTTTTGCTATGGGAAACCTAAAATACGTGTCGGATCAAAAAGTAAAATAAGAGGTGCAAAATGGCAATATGTAATAAAGATTTTGTAAAAGTTTCATTAAATTTTACTCAATGGTATAAGAGGAGTTCCGGATAAGAGATGGGTACCCCAAAGCGTAACAGACAGACGGACAGACAGACATACCGATTACAGCATACCCTTCCACTTTTCAAGCGGGAACTTCGGAGAAGTTCAGAATTTCGATCCTGTTGCTTGGGAATTGATTTTTTTTTTTTAGTTTTTTTTATTCATTTTTTTTTATTGAATTGAAGATAACTACTATAATTGTATGTGTATAGGTTTTACTGCGCTGACCCAACAGTCACACCGTAAAACATAATAATATGTAATGCTTGCCAATGGATACAAAAAATATATTACCGTCTTTTCTAGTCTGCCCTGTCGGCTGGGTTCCTTTTGATGGACATTGTTATTTCCTGAATGAAACCAAAAGAAACTGGAACGATGCCAAGGTATATAAAAAAACAAAACAAAGGTAAACCGGAAATGTGCCAAGGTAATATAAAAAGATGCCAATGAAATTTAGTTAAAATTATAAGCTTCTTATTTCGTCTGGTCTGATCCATAGTAAAACTGTAAACCAACTTTTGTTCGCGTGCGAGGAATTTTCGCGAGGTTCGCGAAAGTTTCCTTATCGCGAATATTTCTCGCCATGAACCGGTCCTTAAAGTAAGTGTGTCTGTTAAAAACAGATTAAACTAGAGGTACTGTGAGCAATGAGCTCACTAAATGATACCCCCCGCTTCCCATATGAATATAGTGGCAGTGTCCATGTTTTGCTCTGGAAAATCAAAAATATATGTCAGATCAAAAAGTAAAATAGGAGGTGCACAATGGCAATATGTAAATAAGAATCTTTGAAAGTTTCATTAAATTTCCTTCAGTGGTATGAGAGGAGTTGCGGATAAGAGATGGGTACCCCAAAGCGTCATAGACGGACGGACGGACGGAAATACCGATTACTATATACCCTCCCACTTTTCAAGCAGGGGGTATAAAAAGGCTTGATCGTGAAATTTAATCGTCGCGAACAAGATAACCCCTGGTAAATCGGGAAATAAGGCCGTCACGAATAAAAGTTGATTTACAGTATTTTTCTATGCATAATCAAAAAATACATAAGAACATGAAACACTGTCATGTTAGTACAGCGATTAAAGTTTCAAATAATCTTTAATAAAATTTAAGATTTTTTTTTTTGAATCAAATTTAAAATTGCGTCCTCAGCAGTCTCCTTTAAAGTCATCAGTTTGTAAGTTATATATGCATACAATGACTTTGTCAGAAAATACGTGCATGTACAATATTTCATGGAGTAAAATGCTTACTGACGTTTTTTTATACTTATTTTGAGTTTATCATTTACACACTGCATTGATAAAACAAATTGTCGTTATTTCTCGGTCATGAGAAGATTTAGAGGCACACGTACTCCTCCATTGCACCTAATTCCTCCTCTTATGTTTTGGAAATCCATGTTTGCTCTGCTTCTGTATTTTATTTTTTTTTAACTTTTGAACTTGAATACTGTTTGTTATCTCCATATATTTTATTATGTCACTGCCCCAATGTAAAATTCAGATTAATGATCAAGATCCTCATGGAATCAACCATATTTATGTATTTAATTGTGTTGCACTTTGCATGCACTATGCCAAAGTAGAAGCCAGGGTTTGGCACATTTTGCAAGAGCCGGAGACACTATGTGTCAAACCCTGATAACTATCTAGGCATAGTGCATGCAAGAAGCAACGCTATTGTTATTATTATGCTGATTGCTGTATGAAAATGTCAATATTTTCTACATTTGTTTCTTCGCCTCTTACATTCATGTTAGTTCACCCTTAATATGACGTTACATTGTGCTACACATACGTCATAATATTTGTTATCTAGGTTCAATAAAGTGTGTACGCCTTGATTGGACCTAGATAAGGAATTTATTTATTATGTTCCCAAAGAAATTCTTTGTAGACTAAAGTTTCAAGCAACGGTGTTTCAACCTATCGATAAGATGTACTACAATGCATCATGAGTCCATGTCATTTGCTTTTTATCATAGAAAAAATGTGCATTGTGACGTCACGATTATCTTCCCCCGGCTCAAGTCGGGTGCACGGAAATATACACCCGACTCTTTAGCCAATCAAAGCCCGCGTTACATGCTACATAGGAAATAATATTTTTCTTTCAATTTTAATGTTTCATGCATTAGGTATAATGAACAGATAGTTTGAATTTGAAAGAATTTTATGGTATGAGTGAAGGGGAAAATTCCAAGAAAATGTTTTAGAAAAATCCTTTTTTGATTTTCCTTCTTTAAATGTAAATACTTGAAACTAATTTTACATATATTAAAGCACGACGTCATTGACATCGGCCTCTGTGGGGGTAATCGGTAGCGCGTAGGACTGACAATCTCGGGGTCGTGAGTTCGATGCCTGGCGTCGGTGCCGTCGGATTTTCGTTAGAAATAGAAACCGTGCACTATTTTGGCATAGTATGCTTGCGTTATATAAATCAATAGAACACAATGCGATAATAGTTGGATGTTTATAACATAGATTATATAGAGACAAATGGACAGGAAACATAATGATCAATGTTATCTTCCTATCAAAGAATTGCTATCTAAAATATGGTCTTTTTTTCTCTGATGTTAAATACAAGCAGTTGGAATAGAAAATTTAATATATTTTTCATTATATACGTAATAATGACGTAAACATATTACAGGAACAGTGTGAACACAATGAAGCCCACCTTGTAGAGATAGAAACTCTAGAAGAAAATACATGGATCATGGAAACTTTTCTTTCACCTTGGAATGATGGTAAGAATTTATTATAAATATATATACCCCCAAAGGGTTTAGGGTAGGGATAAGGGCTTATTATCTGGTCTTTGACGGCTCAATGACAAATGGAACAAAAACTTTACGTTGATGATGTAACTTTTGATACAATTGCAAGCTTTTCAAATAATTATTAAGCGTAGATTAAAATACCATTTACATAATTATTTAATACAACTTATTTTTACCTGGAAAGTGCAAGTCTCAGTGCACAATGCAAGAACTGTCATGGCTTTTGATGAGGGCAACTGGTATTCATACAAGTAGACTTATTATCTGTTGTTTTTGCAAGCATAAAACAAGGCTGATAAAATACCTGTAGCATCATCTTATGTGTTCGTAGCCTTCCTTTTAATTTTTTAAATTCTTATTTAAAATATACCTTTGTTTATCAAATTTCTTGGGGAACCCTAAATTTAAATATGAATATATAAATGTACATGTATTATACAGAAATAATTCAACTTTCTATTTAGCGTCCTTAAAAAAAATATTTATTTCCCCCCATCAAGTCAAAGATCATGAGAAAGAAGAGTTATATTAAATATCATGGTCCCCAGCGTGTAGGGCATGAATACTTAGTAAAGCTAATACCATAAATAGTAAAACCAATAAATAAATTCACCATTTGTATGAAAATATAAAAGTTTTGAAAGATTATGAAGGATTATGAAAACAGCATTGCTTTTGATTTGTGATTTATTTTGTTTGACTGTCCAAAGTTTATTTCAGTTGACTGTACAAAGTTTATTCTGGTTGACTGTCAAAAGTTAATTTTTCAATATAGTTGACTGATTTTTTTAGTTGACTGTACAAAGTTTATTCTAGTTGACTGTCCAAAGTTTATTCTAATTGACCGTCCAAGGTTCATTCTAGTTGACTGTCGAAAGTTTATTCTAGTTGACTGTCGAAAGTTTATTCTAGTTGACTGTCCAAAGTTTATTCTAGTTGACTGTCCAAAGTTTATTCCAATTGACTGTCCAACATTAATTCTAGTTGACTGTCAAATGTTTATTCTAGTTAACTATCCAATGTTTATTCCAGTTGACTGTCCAAACTGGTGGGATTGCTGTGATTTTTGGATAGGAGCTACTGACATGAACGAGGAAGGAGTGTTTACATGGAATCGTCGTATCAATGTCACTTTTACAAACTGGAACGAACTTCAACCTGATAACCTTCTCAATGCACACTGTGCCTTCTTTTGCCGGAACGGCCGTTGGTATGATGTTCTCTGTGAAGACCCAAATACATTCATTTGTGAAAAAGAATAATACAGTTTTACTCGGTTTTGAGGAACTCGATTACAAGTTTCAAACTCAAATGGATTCACAGTGCTTGTACTATAAATTCCTGTAAATCTTCATTTAATTGTTTGGATTTTCTTCTTTTTTATTCTTAAAATATCCAAATAATAAAAACTGATAAAGTCTGCCGAAACATTTTGATTTTTTTTCACTTCAAAAGAAGTATAATTAAGGATTTTTTAAGGAATCAGCATGGTTGGTAGAGTATATACCAGGGCAAAAACGGTAGCTGGAATTGTTGGATAATTTTCATAACGGAAGAATCCCATTATGCATAAATCATTCCACGTTTCCAACTATCACTCATGTCCCTGGCAAACGTTACTAATACGTTATATCGCGAGTACCTCGCAGTTATCTAACTTGCTACTGCTCTTCTGCGGGGTAGTCGGGAAAGCACTAAATCTTACAAGATTTCTCGGGAACATGACACTGTTTACAATAGTGACAATCGAATGATTGGAACAATTCTATTGATTGATTGATTGAATATTGTTTAACGTATGCCGGAGAAGGGCTTCAAATTTTGAACTTTACTCGGCACTCAGGGCCATTGAGCAGTGAATGATCTTTATCGTGCCAACGCCTGCCGCTGACACGGGGCCTCGGTTTTTAAGGTCTCATCCGAAGGACCCGCAACTTTCGCTTCAAAGTCCCGAGCGCATGGCGAAGAAACAGTTGCTACCCATTTTTTATCGACTTAGGTCAGTGGCGGCCGAGATTCGAACTCACGACCTCCCGATCACGGAGCGAGCGCTCTACCGACTGAGCTACAGTGAACGGTAGTAACAATTTTATGCCGAAAGTACAATGTATTGCCAAGTACTGAACTCCAAATAGTAGCTTGTCAAATTGAACTGCTAATGACAAAAATAAACAAATTCAAAATCGATGCACTGTACTTGAAATGGGTGTTTTTTTTCATTTGAAATGTTATCAATCTTGATTTATATTGCAGAGCAGGTTTGGGGTAATGCTAATTGTAATGGTAATGCATTACAATGCATTACATGAACTCAAAGTAATGCTAGTAATGTATAATGCTTAAAAATTTGCATTACATGTAATGGTAATGTAATGTATTACTTCATAAATTCCAGTGTAATGCAGGCATTACATAGCATTACAAAGCATTATTTTGTATGTACCTATTTTGAGAAATTAAAATAGGCATTGATGATGAAAATTATTGTTTACGTTATTATTTTTTTTCTATTTATTTGCAAATGATAGAAGTAAAAAAAAAGTTACCATATCTAAATAAAATTTCTTTATCTATTTATAAATACATGTTTTTTTCTATTGAAAGAACGCTTACCTTACATTTGATTTTTCAAATTCATTTAAAATAAGAGTTGATTTTAAAGAATTGTATAAAATAGTTTTGAAAGAAAAAATACATGTGAGATTTACTAATTATTGTGCACTGTAATCTGATAATTACCACCTTTTGAATAGATAAAGTGTCCTCAAAACACACTATGCCTCTGGATAATGTAACAATTAAAACAATGCATTGTTTGTAGAAATACTCCAAATTAGTCCCCTTCTTCGGACTGTGTTTATAAAACATTAATTGAGCTGGTCTAGCATGTACTGACCATGAAAAATCCATTGTATTAAAGAAAAAGAAGACATGCAGGCATTCTATGCTTAGCAGATCAAAATGTACATCCTGTCTACTTTTTCAAAAAGTTTGTCAATGCATTTATTGCAAGATACTAATCAAATAATCAAATACCTTATATAATTTACTATTAGATATATTAGGCAGTGGTTAATGTGCCCCAAAAGTTAAATTGCTTCATGCTTCAATAGTTACACAAAAAGTGGATATCGTACATATGTATAACTGACAATTTAAAAGATTGAACTTTCTGTTAATGTAAGTTATTGACAGTGTAATATATATACAAAAAAAAAAAACAACTTGAAATCAAATTTGAATTATCATTTATCATGTTTAGCTTTGAAGGGGGTGGATACATGCTTCTGAAAAAAAATTTCAAAGTTTGGTATAAATTTTTATTTTTAACCCTCCACCTCCCAAAAAGTAATGGTAATGGTAATGCATTACTTTACTAAAGTAATAGTGATGTAATACATTACTTTAAGAAAATAGAGTAATGGTAATGGTGATTTAATGCCCAAATTGTTGAAGTAATGGTAATGTAATGCATTACTTTACAATGTAATTCGCCTCAAGTCTGTTGCAGAGATAGTTTTGCATTTTGTTTCTATCCAGTACTGGTGAGAAAACAATACATTAAGAATCAAACAACCAATAAAAGTTGAAACCTCCAATCAATAAAAAGGGAAGATTAGCCTATGAGTAGCAATCAATCTTTGTTAATCTTTAGAGAAAGATTTCAGTATCAGTATCGCTTTCAATTTCTTTGGGTTGAGCTTTCAAAACATTATTTAGATTTGCATATATAGCGATGATTCCTTTTTTGTTGGGGGAGGGAGATAGTGTAATTGTCATCACATTTAGTTTTTCTCTTAATGATAGATTATAAACTTCATAAAAAAAATTACAACCACAATATATATATATATATATAACTATTTGGTAAGTACGGTATTAAATATAATTCTTTATTGTCAATTTAATCACTTCTAAATGATTTCTATTTTCAAGAACTTTGCTCTCTGAAATACTGTGAATGTTTTAGTTGATTTTTTAAATGCTATTAAATGGAATTTGTTTAAATTGTTTAAATAATATGAAAAAAATAAAATAAAAATATTGTAGACTCATGTGAAGAACAGGAGGTTCGACTTGTGGCGAAAGAAACATTAGCAGAAAATACATGGATTTGGAAACGTTTATTATATACTCCTTGGAATAATGGTACATGTAAGGTTACTTGTTTTAAAGGAGATGAAAAGTATGCCACACAGTTAACTGAACTGTGGCGGAATAGCAAGTAATTGCCATTTAGATGTCTTTCTAGGACGTTCAGTAGTCATTCAGTTCATTAATCGTGTACTTTAATCCGGAATTAATCGAAATCCCTGACTTTACGAATGACTAACCAGATTTTAATTCAATTAATTATACCTCTTTTGATAATACTCGAATTTGATTGGCTGGTAAGAAAACTTTAAAACACAACAATAACTCCAAATGGTACTGTTTACAGCAATAATGACCTAGGAATCATTGCACGTGGGATATAATGACCCGGTCATTATAGTTAATGACCGCTAAATAATGACCTCTTAATCAAGAACTCCTTTCTGAGTGAATTAAATGCATAAAATAATAATTATTCGAGAAAACAATATGTTGTTAAAATTGTGCAAGGTCTCTTTTGCATAACCGTTAACTTAAACGGTTTACTCATTTTAAGATATCGTTTTAATTCAATTCTGGAATGTAGAAGCGGATCTGTAAAGAGTTGAATTCTGTGTTAGATTTTGACTGGGTAGAGGAAAAGTAATCGCTAGTTATAACAATGTTTGTCGCTATATCCAACAAATATAATTTTAATCAGTAAATCATGATGCAAAAAATGATGCGAATCCCGATCCCGATCAAAGAATTGATAACGGTCAGAGATTCATACTTTTCAATATATATCGGTATAATAAAACAATTGATTGCCCCTTTTGATTTCAACATGTTGAAATACATGTAAGGACGCCGCCGAGGTCAGGGCAGGTCAATAAGTGGGCCAGGTCGAGGGTCCTTATTTCACCATGTTGACCTCAAAAGGGGTAATTAATTGTATAGCAATTAATGTAAATTATGTTTGGAAAAACATGTCTGAATTTGGAAACCACAGTCACCGGAAAAAAACAAATTAATATCATACATGTATATGGGGAATGAAAAATGATAAAGAAAAGTTGGGTGTGGTTGATCGCACATTAGTCGGACTAAGCAATTGGCACTGTAATATAAAGATTAGTTTTAATACTTGACATGTAGAGATAACGAACAGTATTCACGCTCAAATATTCATTAAACATAATAGAATAGGAGCAGAGCAAAAACGGACCTTCAATCTATCAGAAGTAGGATCAGGCGCAATGGAGGAGTGAGCATAACTCTTCCCTTATATTTTGATTATTTTTTATTTACTTTAAATGCTAAATATAACAGCTACTTAACATCGGAATTCATTATACTGGTCACGGTATCCTTGTGGTAGAGCGTTCGCTTCGTGATCGGGAGGCCCGGGTTCGATTCTCGTTCGCGGCGCCGCGTCATACCTCGTAAACATAGGTAGTGACTTTTCCTTCGCCAAGCGCTCGGCACTAGAAGGGAAAGTCATGGGTCTTTCGGATATGACCTTAAAAATGTAGGTCCAATGTCACAGTAGGCGTTTGCACAATAAATAACCCTCATTTCTCGATGGCCCTGGGTGCCAAGTATAGGTCAATATTTGAGGCCCGTCACCTGTAAACGGTGACGTCTCCATATAATTGAAAAATTATCGAGATGGACGTTAAGCATCATACAGTCAATCAATCAATCAATATAACGGAATTCAATATTAATATTTTCCTTTCTTTTACGGAATAGTCGCCTGCGTGGCGTAGTAGTTTGAGCGTCTGCTCTAGACTGGCTGATCTAGAGAGAGGTGATCCTTATGCAGCGGTATCGGATCACACTCGAGGTCTAGTGTCACAGTAGGTGCCGGTGTAAAGACGAATAATGACCCCCATCGAAAAATGAGCGGGGGTTATTTTTCGACAGCGAAAAATGACCCCCGGTCATTATTCGACGTAGAAAAATGACCCTTTTGCCCGTAGAAAAAGTGTCACCACCCTAAAAATTTGCAGAACCCACGCGCAGAAAAATGACCCTCGTAGAAAAATGACTCCCTGTTGATTAAAGCTGAAATTTTTAGGGGGCAAAAAAAAAAATAGATAAAGAAGCATATTGGCCAAAATGCCCACCTGAGGTTATTTGGAATAAATTGATGATATGTTGATCTCATAACATACGATTATAGATATATTTCAAGGTCAATGCGATGATTCAGAATCTAAAGGAGTAAAGATTTATCGAGCCTAAAGGGTTAGGTAAACATTGTTTTTCGATGGTGGGAATCATCGTACTGACAGAAAAAAATCGGCAGTATCATATATTATTTTATCCTCCGCTTGAAAA